CAGATTCGTCATTCTCGGCCGTTAATTCTCTGCAAACACTAGAGGCTAAAACAGATCCAATCGTTAAACTAGAAATCCAAAAAGCTTTGCAACGCCTCAAGGTGAAGAAGTCCTACAGGGTGGACAGAATTCTTCCGCAGTTATTTAAGTATGGAAGAACGGGAATGCTACAAGAACTCCATGGCCTGTTTCATGAAGCGTGAACGTGGAGAATGTAGCTTGATGGTCCGTATATTTATAGAGAGTTAGGAGACCGAGTGCTCCAATTAACGGGGTTTCATACTACCGTCACCTCCCAAAAAACATCTCTTCTGGATTAACCTGGAACGACTGAGACAGATAGTTAATGGGAGAATTCACCCAAATCAAGCAAGACCATTTTTTCATTCTGCGTAGAATCACTGACCACTACCGACGATTGCATCCATTTATCTATCAGTTTCCTGGACTTTAAGGCTGCTTTTGATTCACCGCATTGTCCGGAGATATGGAAAATCTTGAAATGATATGGATTCCTGAGCAAATCGTTTCTATTGTGGAAGAAATATATGCAGGAGCCATGTCTGATGTTAAAGTTGAAGAGAAATATCTCAGTTGTTCCGTGTTAATTTTGGAATTCGCAAGGGAGAGGTGCCTTTGCCTATGTTGTATAACACTTTTCTTGACCTTCTCAAAAATAGTTCTGACAAAGATGAATGCATGATTTTGGAGGGAAGGCGCAATTCACAATATCAGGCTAGACCTTGCCTTAGAATAGGCAGCTAATATTGTCCTGCTGAACACTACGAGGAGCGGGCTTTGTCATCTGACGACTTCCGTAAGCAACACTATTGTGACGCCCAGAAGTGGACAGTTATGAGGAATCCGTCCGGCACATCTGATCTACAATTAGAACAACGACGTAAATGCGTTCAGGAGGTTGACTAGTATAAGTATCTCGGCTCCATCATCTCCAGCGATTACGCTACCCAAAATTAAATAGGAGGATCGCCCTAACTTGTAGAGCTTTGGGAAACCCATTTAATATTTGGATTCAGAAAGGAGTTACTCTTTCCATGAAAATCTCTTCCCTCACCCCCGTATTTTGTCTGTCAGGTTAGTGTTGTTATAGGAACGGAGGCAGCTGTTCTAACGTAGGAGCAAAAGCGATGGCTGAACTGTGTGCAGCGGCGTTGAATTCGATGGACGCACAGTGAAAGTAATACGGCGGGACCATGTAATGA